ACTGTGACAATGCAAGTAGGTGTTATTTGGCTATTAAGGATCACAAGCCAACAATGTTTCTACCCAGTGGTTTATACCAAATGATTTCCCATTACTCAGCATTGTAGAAGCACTGCTGCTATTAGTGTAATCCCGACATTATGTAGACAGAGCAAAAACAACCTCATCTCTCCTGGGAGCTCATAATTCAGTCAGATATTACTTTGACACGTCAATATGATAGCCGAGTAACAATATCCCAAATACATTTAATGAGGCATCAGTACAGCCCTGATATTCTCATGGGTTTGAGTCTCATTCAGGCTACTCATACTGCAAATATTTGTGCTAAGAGCTCCTTCATGGTGCTTTAGATATAACCACACACCCAGTGTCTGTTGTGAGACATTAATCACTGTCAACCATAGGCATGATCGTCAATAGGTTTGGCACCTCTGCCTGCATAGAGCGCACGAGTGAATTAACACACATTTGAAAGGGCTCTTCTGTTCCTTTATAGCTAATTGCTGCCTCTTCAACAACCGTCCTCATCCTCTTCAAGCCATTAATTCCTGGACAACAGCACTTCTGAGAAGTCGTAAAGTGAGTTAGGTAAAGTCAAAGCACTCATCGCCCCTTTCCATTAAAGCTTTGCGCATCAATACCTGTCCACTCCTGGAATACCATCCGTCCGCCAGCCACAGATCTGCTGCTTTGCCTCTACTATGCAACTGGCTGGGCAGAAACAGGGCTAATAAATGGACAATAGATGTGCATTAAGTTCAGCCATTAACTTTTAACAGATGTATTAGACTGGAGGAGACGCACGACTTTGTTTTCAAGGTTGTTTAAGGTTGCTTGTCGAGGTGGTGCTTTTTGAATTGAATTATGCATGAGGTAGCGAGCACTTGCTATTGTTCAGTCTTCCTCCATTGCCATAATAAAATGAGGGCTTGTCTGACTGTCGTCTCCACATATATATTTTTATTTTAAAATATACATGCCATATTTGCTTATGAAAATGGATAACACACATATATGCTGGGTTTTTCCTCAATAATGTGCTTCAGTTGTAAGATGTATTTTTATTTTTCCCAAAGAGTGGGTAAATTACCTTGTTGAGGGAGTATTGCTATTGATTCAAGTGGCATAACTGCTGAGTGAATGGTTGGGTGCAGCCCTTGTTGGTTAGTATGAAGCCATTGATTTTATTCTGCTTATATGCTTTGCAGTGCTCTCAATCAAATCAGAAACAGAGAAGATGCTGTTTATAAATCACAAAAGTGTGTGATAGAGAAAGAGAGAGAGAGAGAGAGAGAGAGAGAGAGTGAGAGAGAGAAAATGCATGTATTTGCTGTGTATGGATTTCACACTAATACATTCTTTATCCTTCATCTTTTTCCCCTGAGGGACTGTGGAGTTTCAGATGCTTTCAGGGTTTATGCTTCTCACATCTCCACCTGACAACGGACAACCAATCATAACACTGACCCAGGTGTTAATCCCCAATTACAAGCCTGTAACCAAACTCATCTTTTCATACTGCTGCAGGGCCTTGCAGTGCCATGCAGGAGTTCAGGTGGATCTTGAGTCCGGGCTTTGATGCTTTTTTCCCCCATTTCACATAGTGCTTCATATTGACTTTTCAAGTTTTTATTGTTAAAACATTTTTGAATTTTAGGAAAGGTATTTTCTTTTCTTTTTAAATTAGTAATAAATACCCCAAGGAATAATGTTCAAGTCTTCTCTTAAAACACCCCACTATGCTCTAAATTGATTTTTTTAAAGGATTTTATTTTATGCTCTGCACTCCGGGGACTGCTGGAGGTCAGTATCGGATTTCAAATTGCATTGTGATGACGTGAGTCATTTACATGAGACATTCCCCTACCCAGTCACAAAGATTAAGGTAATTATAAGATGATTTGGATCCTAATTTGATGCCCTACGATCTAAGAGTAGATCAAGTGAACTTGGCCAGAAATTACCACCTAATTAGAAAAGCCAATATACAGAACCACTGGAAGCATGAGCTCAAGATCCAGTGAAACAGGATAAGTAGAACCATGTGTGATATGGTAGCTTCTCTCTATTTAACTTGGGCTCGTTAAGTATATACATGTAGGGTCTTTGTGTTGACTTGAAAATGATGAATTACCTTGGGTCCTGTCACCCGGCCGTCTTTTTTAATGACCTTGTATTTTCATAGATCATATTTTAGGCAGGCATACAGGATATGATAGCTGGCAGCCAGAGGTAAGACTATATGTTTCCACTAGCCATTCGGCTATATCCCGAGTTTATAAAATAAATAGTCAGGTCCAGACTTTTTTACTGTGGTGAAATTAGAGTAGTAAACCTTTCTCAGTCTGGCCAGGTTGGGAGGATGGAGAGAAAGGTTGTGTGTGAGAGAGAAAGAGAGGGGGAAACAGTTGCAGCTCAGTAAATAGACAGTTAAGGGTTTGGACAGTCGCTGTTCTCCATGTCTTCTCTTCACATTGACTCTTCGTTCACCTCCATTCCTCTATTCTCTGCTTTCCTAATCACTCTGCTTTTTTCCACCAAAGTCTACTTTGTATCCATTCATGCTGCTCTCTGCAGTTTATCCCTGTTTTCTCTGCATTTGCTGAGCTAAAAATGTGTGTTATTGTTGGAGTCAATGATTCATTTACATTACTAATTTCATTTTTCAACAGTATTGAATAATGTTTTGAGTCAAACCCTGCAGCCTAAAACAATACATTTGAGAGATTCAGCTTAGCAACAGGACCTCTCCCAGTAACACTGGACAGTGACACAAGGTTTTAGGCTTAACACTAATGTTGTGTTGTGGTTAGCAATCTTGGTCTGGATCTCCCAGTTCCCCCTAAAACTCACACAGGCTCTGTGCCAGTGTGCTGGGAGTCTGATAAATCCAACCTTCCCAGTGACTTTATCAGTTGACGGCTCCAGACTGAGCACAGTTACTGAGGGACAGTCATCTTTGGTTGGTAGGAAGATGGTTAGTCCTCTTATAGTGTGTGACTGTATGGGTTGGGTTTGCATTGAGGATCTTTGGAAGCTTCTGGAGATTCGTACAATTCACATTTTCTCACCATTTACCAACAAGGGAATATCTTGGTAACAGGATATATACATCAGTGTGCCAGAGAGGAGTTCAGTGTGAGCTTTTAGACTCTTGCCTTTTCTCTTAAAAAGGCAAAAAGTAATCTTCACTTTCTTATATGTCACAGTTCTTTTGAGTAAACCTTTAAAGCTTTAAGGCTAATTACTGTTTCTGATTGACTGTTGTTTCATTCATTTACATCATATCTCCTTTGCCTATTTCCCAAAGGGTCACCATGTAGAATAAACAAAATTGACCTCAACGTTCAGTCCAGAAATGGAGCTATGGAGCCCTCTCTTTTTAGACTTTCAGTGACATCTCCATCTCTCGCTTGCCTGCCTGCTAAAGCCAAGCTAGCGTGACTAAAACACTTAGTCACAGTGCACCTCGGCAGCAGCGAGCCAGAGTGCTACTGAGGCTTGGGCCAAGCTAACAGGCTTATGCTATCCTGTCTCTCTCACATCAGTATTTCTCTTTCATTTTACCTAGACCTAACACTACGGACCCGAACAGTCAGCATGGAGGAACACTAACATTTCTATAGTCTGTAGTGTATACACTTGAATACACAAACGCTTAGGGAAAATATGCAAATATAATACATTGTTGCATGTAAAATATAAGATTCCATAATGCATATTCATCGCGCAAAAACACACACAAACACACACAAACACACTCTGGGGTCTTGAGAAAAATGTGTGACAGGGAACTCCCTTTTTCTGAAACATGCACCCTGATTACAGAGTGTGTGTGTGTGTGTGTGTGTGTGTGTGTGTGTGTGTGTGTGTGTGTGTGTGTGTGTGCGCGCGCACGCATTTGAGTCGAAGCACATGCCCACTCCATGATTACAGCTATATGTTCCTAATGTCACAGATTACTTTTGTTTCTCTTGCAGCTCCTCCCTTCCCTCCTCTCTCTCTCTCTCTCCCTCTCTCGTCTTCCACCCTCCTTCCTCTGTCTCCTCTTTTTTTATAATCTCCCCTTCACAATGTGCCACAACGTTTGATAACAGTGTGTTAACTCGGTGATAGGCGTGTTGTTGCCATTGCTGAGGGAAGTTGGGTATCTCATCCTGCTCAACATGGGCTCAGCCCTCACACCAGTGCAAGCCTCTGATAATGTCTTGTTGTTGTTCTCGTGTGTTTGATATGCTCAGTTATCTGCCGAGCACAATGTGACTGAATGAGGTGAGAATAGGCATGTCTTGAAAGAAAATGTTTTGTTTTTGATTAATGTTTTATCTTTGAAAGTTGTTTCCCAGAATATCAAGGGTGAAAGAAAAGTTAAACATTTGTTTCTGTGCGATTTTGCCACCTTAAATTTGTTCTTTGACTGGTTTAGGACTAGGTTTTCTGCTGTGTTCCAGCCCTGAACAGATGTGAATATAGTATCCAGAGATACAAGCATTAGGGCAGTGTGTGTGTGTGTGTGTGTGTGTGTGTGTGTGTGTGTGAGCACTGCAGTCGTTAGCAGGGGGTGGGGAGGGAGGGATGTTGTGTCGCCGTTCTGTACAGCGGGCATGCAGGATGGCACAGATGGCGGTGGAATGAGACCTGCCCTCACCGCAGATTTACGTTCCTCTCTCGGGTGTCTGTCTGTGTGTCTGTAAGTCCCTCTAATTTCTCATTTGACAGTCTGAGCATATGCATCAGTGTCATTGTGGCAAGACACGGAGACATATGATGTGGTGAGCCATCTATTTCCAGAGCTAGTCTGTCTGGTGCCTCACAGGCGCTTTGTTATCAAATTAAAATCCTGCTGCTGTTCATGTGCAGGTTGTAATATAGTTCCTTTCTAGGCACACAGATGTGGAATGTGTTGCCCTGAGCTGTTATTTCCTGTGTTAAGCCACCAGCATGTTATTTCTTGGTATTATAATCTTTTTTTGTTTGTCTCCTTTGTCTTCCTTTAGATCGCACTGGGAAGCACTCCACCATGCCCGACTCACCTGCGGACGTCAAGACACAGTCCAGGTTGACCCCCCCTACCATGCCGCCCCCTCCCAGCACGCAAGGTGCACCCCGTAACAGCTCCTACACCCCCACCACATGTGAGTAAAGCCAGGTTTATAGTTACTGCGTTAACTCTACAAAGACATAATAACAGTAACTTTGGTTGTTGATAATGACAGCAGTATAAAGAAGGCTGCAGAGAGGCTTAGTAATTGTCCCCTTGTCTCTAACACACATCGAGCAAAGTCGTTCCAATTGCAAATCTTCTTCTCGCTTCTACTCTACAAAGTGAATGACAGAATGTAAACACAATTACTTCCCTTATTAATTATTGCACAGCAGTAGTCTCCTATTGAGTCAGTGCTTTAGACAGCAGAAGTATAATTCCACCTGAAGACACCCATGAAAAACAAACACAGCAACACTCTAAAACAGAGCAGATATATATGCACTCACACAAGAAGACAATATGCATAGGTAAAGAAAAACCTAAAAACCTTCTTAACAAGTTGCACTGAGCCTTTCCAAATAGCAGTCATTCCAAACAACTCACCCAACAAGTTCATTAACGCCCACACTTAAAAACCCTTGGAGCATTGCCATGACGTGCACATAGCCTGTGACAAGCAAATTACACCCTAGTATTCACTTAGAAGCGCATACTTAACCACTTGCATGAAGAGCACTAGAATCAAAGAATCGAAGGCCCTGCGGTTCAAAGTGCTCAGAGCACTCAGAGTCTGCGGTAGTGGTGCTGGTTCTCTGCAACAGGGGCATTATTTTGTTCTCTTTCAATCACTTATACTCTCCCTTCCTTCATCTCTGGTATTTACTTTCTCCTTCTCTCTTTGTATCTGTCTGTCTCTCTGTGTCTGTTGCAAACGCTCACACTCCACAATTAACATCAGGGCTTCCGTGCGATGAGGGAGGAAAGGCCCAGCTCTCTCATTACGCATGCCGAAGGTTTTAACAAAGCAGAATGCTTTGATTTCCACCCGACGTAATTGTTACCAGATGCAGTTTGAGTATCTCGTCTCTCTCCTCTCTTTACAGTGGCGGCTTTGGACGTCGGCCAGAGGGGGAGTGAGTGGATCACTAGTCAAAACCTAATCTCATTAGAGAGAAAGCTTTATGCCGCCTTGTATCTCTTTGTACACCAACTCCCCCAACACACACATAGACGTACACACACACACTGCTCCCATGCTCTGGCGCGACGGGGGGTCACGCTGTCCCCGCTTGTTTAGACTGCACGGAAGGAGGGAAAGGGAGAAGGAGGTGCAGGGAGGCATCATGTCACAGAAATATGTTTTTTATGAGAGGATGCCACAAAGGATCAAACGATCCTCGATGATTAGAAACAAATGTTGAGGATTGAAATTGTTTTCAGGGAAATGTAAATCAATTCAAATCAGTGGTTTGTTCTTAGTGACGCTGATGTATGTTATTTCCTTTGCTGGTGTTTGTTAAAGGCCCAGTCAGTGATTTTAGGTTATTTTTGGTGATTTATACATAGCACGAGAAAATGCATTGTTTATATGGAATTTTTTTATATTTCTCATTTTTTCTCTCCTTTCTCTGAAGACTATTCTTTGTCTTTGTCTTTGTCTCCCACAGTAACCAATGGCAGCAGCCACTCTCCTACAGCGCTCAACGGCGCTCCGTCTCCTCCAAATGGCTACAGCAATGGTCCTAGCTCCTCTTCCTCCTCCTCGCTGGCCAACCAGCAGCTGCCGCCGGCCTGCGGCGCCCGCCAGCTCAGCAAGCTCAAGCGATTCCTCACCACTCTACAGCAGTTTGGCAACGACATCTCACCTGAAATCGGCGAGCGGGTCCGCACATTAGTGCTAGGACTGGTGGTGAGTGGCTACTGTTTATGTGAGCTTCAGTTGACACCGGGTCTTGAGTTAGAAGTTATAAGTGAATTCATTAAGGCCAATTGAGAGTAATTCTTAACATTTGTTCAGGATGACACAAGTACCAGCTGAAAGGAGTTTACTAAGTCAAAAAGTTTAACTAGTGTCAGGTGAATTGTCAGTCAAAGAGATGAATACTTCAAATACTTTGAAATACTTATCGCTGATTATGAAAACCTCAGGGGTGTTTTTTATTTTCTTATGTCAGAAACTTCACCCATCTGGTCCTTCAGGCATAACTGCAAAATAAACACTTACAGATGTCCAGGACTGACATCCATCAGTACTTTGCAGCACATTACTCACCGTAACATAATGCCTTACAAAACAATGGCAGCATGTTGTCCTCTGGGACAAAAAAATAACATCAAACCAGGAGACCACAGTCTTTATGCACATTATCCATTTTGGATTTAATTGCATTACATTTGTTTGAATTCAAAATCAACATTCAACAACAAACCAGAAGCACATGGCGATAGTGATTAGACTTCCTATTTAAAAATCACACTTACTCAGGTTGCACAGGTGTCTGACAACCATGACTCATCCAGTTGCAGTATTAAAACCTTATTTATTTATTTAGCTAATAAATAGATGTAATTGCAAAAAAGGATGATTGTAGCTTTACGAGGAAGCACTAATTAAAGCATTACTGATAATCACACTTCTAACGCATGATGATCCAGTGCATAAAGTGAATAAAAACAGCATGTGATATTCAAAACTTCTATTAGAATTTGTCCGAATTAAACTAATAATACAGAATATAAATAACTTGCATGCAAAGAACACAAGTAGAAGTGTTTTCTTCACCAGAGATTTCTGCATTGGTAATTCTGCAAAATACAAATCAAGCCTGTAAAGATGGAAATACATTCATCCAACATTTAATAAGACAGATGTGTTGTGTATCTCCGGCTTATCTGACACGGTTATATGAAGGCTATATAAAATACATGCGCAAATCTAAAGATTTACCGCATTTGATCTGATAAAATCTGAGCATAACGAGCAAGGGAATACAGAAATAGTGATTGAACGTTGTGCAGAAAGGAGGAGGCGGAGGAGATGGAGGGAGGAATTTTTTTAATTAGCCACACAGAGCATAGCCTCCTTTTGGCTTCACTATGTTTATTTTTCTCACCGTCTGCTTATGCACATGCCTCTCCTGTGTCGTTTTGGCTTGCGTACCCCTCCCCTTACTCTCTCTCTCTCTCTCGCCGTCTTCCTCTCTTGCTCACTGTCTCTCTGTCCCTCCCCCTGCCTTATTGAAAAGAGTGACACCGTTAATTAGCTAGTTGTGTGCTGGGGAGAGGGAGAGAGGGAGACTCGGGAGGTTTCACTAGCTGTCAAGAACAGCCCCTCCGCAATCTGGGCGAACAGATGTAAGGCTGAATGTAACAAAATTCAGGTCTGGGAAATAACGGCGAGAGTGTGGGGAAGAAAAATAATATCTGCTGCTTTTTTTTTATCTTCTCCGTCTCGCTTGATTTTTTTTTTCCTTGTTTGTATTTTTGCTTGTTATAGAGCAGATTCTTCTCCCAAGTGCATGCACACCTATTTCTCCCCCTTTCTTCACTATTTCTTTCTGCTCTGCATCTTGGGAGCAGTTCATGTTGAAAATTAAAAATAGTGTCACCGCTGTCTTGTCAGCCATTAATGTGAGTTACAGACAACTAAAGAAGCAGAGACAGAAGCAAGACTTTGTTTGGGTGTGGAGGGCTGACAAACTGCTGCAATGATCCTCTTTGCAACCATATAGAAAACACACATATGCCCTCTTACCCTAAACATACTACCCCCTCCCTGTGCACATTTGCCTGGACCATGTTGCTGCTCTCATGTATTTTGATCATATTCCTCTAATCTGGTCTGTGAAAAGAGACAGTACAGGTGTGGAGCATTATGGCACAAGTTGATAAGGACGTGGGTACTATGCATGGACATTTGTTCTACATAAAACGTGTGCAAACATCCAAATGAATGTCCAAGTGATGGAAACAAAGACAAAGCAATTAAGAAGAAAAAAACTGCATTTTATTTTATTGGACAGAAATTACACAGTTGTCTTCAATATGTTCAGCCTTTATTCATAATAGCAAACAGGTAGAACTGAGCTAATGTGAAAGTTACGTGAAAGGTGTATGATTAAGTCCACTAACACTCATATTCAAGCCCATTTTCAAAGAGAAAAAACAATTAAGCACATTTGTCCCTCATGCAGCATATTTTCTGACGATGTGACTCCTGCATGTGTATTTGTTTTGTTAATTGAAGGAGATGTGCGTCTTTGTTTTCTGTTGCTCTTTTCACTGCGGCTTGCCCCCATATGCTTCCTATTACAAAACCCGAAACATTTACTCCAGGCCAGGATCTAGCTTAGCTTCCAATAAGTAATATTATCACTTAATGTCTTCCATATGGATTCATGTGTTTTCTCTCCGTCTCCCTCTCTCTCCCTCCAGAATTCCACGCTAACCATCGAAGAATTTCACTCCAAGCTCCAAGAAGCCACCAACTTCCCTCTGCGACCTTTCGTCATACCCTTTCTGAAGGTAGATATTTAAACATACGTTTACTACAGAAGGTTTGGTTGCCTGTCTGCCTGATCAGCCAAATCTGGTAAACATAAAGCCGTGTGCAGATGTGCATACTTATGTTCATGATTTTTCTCCCTATTTTTGGAGTCTCTCTCCTCTTTGCATCTTTATCTGTCTCTCTCATATCTATCCCTGCCCTGTCTTATTCTTCCTTCTCACTCTGCAATTTCACAAGATACTGTTGCTCTCATTCTGTCATCTTTTTCTTTCTCTTTGCTCAATCTGTCTCTCCTCCAAATTAAACAACGCATAAGTCATTTCAATACTGAGACTGATCTCATTCTTTTAGATTCACTCTGTTTAACCCAAAGCTAGCAACTTTGTTCAGAACATAATTATTCTGTACAATATTTGAACTGGAAAGAAGTTGTTTTTAAGAAACCTGCTCAATGTGTACTGCAACAGAGCACAATGAGTGTGGTTTTGGCCAGATGACAGCATCCTCTTTCATGTGCTCATTTCCAGCCTCCTCCACCTCTTTCTCTCAGGCTTGTTTTGTCATCAATTCTTTGTCCCACTAAGCCACATTTCAGCCATTAGCATAGTATATAACCAGAGGAAGGAGCAGCGTTCTTAACCATCAGGCTGTGCCCTTGCTTCAGCCCATTTGACACTGGTTGCCTTGTTTCAGTCACAACAGTCCACCTCACATCTCTTTATTCCAGTCTGGGAGATAAAAAATAAAGAGGGATGGTGGTTATTTGTGTGTATCTAAAGGTGAAATAGTGATAATTTATGTGCATTAGGGATGTTTGTGTCAAAGAGTTGCATATTCTGAATGTCTGCAGGATTTGAGGAGCTAAAGCGGTCTGGAGGTGAGACTGGAGGTATGATTTGTTTTGGTAGTCAAACGGGACAGGGGTGTATAGTGAGAGATGTACTGTGCAGCAGCAGTTCAGATCATGTTATCGGGTCTAGGTGAAGTTGAAATCAATAGTGTGGTACTGAGAGATGGAGAGCAGGGTTGGGCATAAAATTTTTTTTTTTTTTTAACATCATTTGTTTCTATTACACACCTCTGATAAGGCTTTTGTTTTATCACTTTCTCTTTACTCATCCCCCCCCCCATCCTTCTTGATTTCTCTGTCTACTTCTTTATCTATTCTCTATCCCTCCCTCCCCTGCTCTCTATCCGTCTGTGTCTGAGTGACAGGCATGAGGTAAATGTTATTTATGAAAACAAGACAGTTGGTTCTCCCTGAGCACAATATCATCTCACTTTACTCTGTGTCTGTGCGCGTGCATTTGCAGATGTGTCCATGCCTGAACTGACATTCACAAGCCTGTATCATGTACTGAGGTCCTGCGTGGATGTGGGCACTAGAAATTGGTCCCACTAGAATTGTCGTTAGTGGCTGTTAACAACACAAACAGAGATCTCCTTCCTTACACAGCTCACTTATTTTTGACTTTTCTTCATCTTTTTCTTCTTTGACTCACCTTCTCATTTGTTCTCCCTCCATATCTTTATCCCTTTCCTGTCAATGTTTACTGTTCCCCATCTATCCAAGCCCCAGTCCCTCCTTCCCCTCTCCTCTCCTTGCCAGATGGTTAGTGTATCACTGGGATGGCTGCGGAATCAAAGATGCAATTTTTTTTTTCTTCCCTCCATCGCTCCTTCTCTGCCTCTCTCTCTCCCCAGTCTAATTTTAGTGTCTTCCCACTGCGGGGCCTTTAATGCCAGCTACCATATGGTAGCGGAGAGCGGCTGGAGGTGTAGGGGAGCTTTTATAGGTGCGTCGAAGCACAGCTGCAACAATGCGCATCAGGGCTCAGAGTTTTTCATTACGCTAATGTTAGACCGAGCCGACCCCTCGAACCCCCCCCACCCCCCACCCAAACCCACTCAACTCCTTTCCCCTTCTCTTAATACTAAACCGCAAATTGGTTGGGAGTCTTTACTGGAAGGAGGCAATCATAAACCACACAGCGCCAGTGACGTGATGTGTTGGTGGGACGCCCGCCACACAAGACAACAGGCAGTAACAGTGTTTCTCTGTTTTCAAAAGTTGTGCTTTTTTTAAGTTTGCTCTCTTCTTAGCTGTCAAGTGTTTTGTTTTTCTTTTGTCGTGCTGAAATGAGAGGAGTGCTGTGAGACGAGGGAATAAACACATTTAGCTAAAAAGAGAGAGAGAGAGAGAGAGAGAGAGTTGTGACAGGAAATAATTGAAATAGGACAATATAGATGTGCAAGAACTAAGTCACCTAGATTCTCCTCCAACTGCAAATTACACAGAAACAGAAAGTTGATGAAGTGCAGCATATCCTGAACGTGGCATATCCCGAATAGTTTTTTGGCACCGTTTGACAAAATGACAGATCCAGTATTTTCACAATAAATCATCCTGGGCAGATTTTTAGCTGTGGCTGCTTGCTGAACACTACTTCAAATTTTCCTTTTATGCAAGTGCAGACGTTGGTTACCCTAACTGCACAGAAGCAAAGCGACATACTTTATCATATGAAAAATGATCCAGTCTCTTCCGCAGCCTGCATTTCTTGACTCAGTCTTTTTGTTAATGCATCCCACATCTCTGGCAATTAGGATGACCTCTAATTAATGAAAGATGAGTTCACCGGGGTCAAAGCAATCTATTTTATGCTCTTTTTTCAGAGGGTAATTACGATCATAAACTATTAACGGACCATTAACTCGGGCAGGTAAAGCGAAGGCCAGCGCTTGCCATTTCTTTTACAGCCAATTACTGGAGAGGGATTTTCGTATGATTATGAAACATAAATACGGCTAAACAAATCAGGGTTGTGTTTTGCGAGTATTATTTCTGTACGCAGTTGGCAAGGACAAGATCAAATTGTAAAAGAAATGGAAGCAAACTAGTCAGCTATTAAGGGACTGGAGGAAAGAAAGAGTGAATAAAAGCTTATAGATTATAAAAGCGGAAAAATGAGGAAAGGAACAAAATGAAAAGGAAGATTATGTTATTGAGGACAAAACAAAGATTAACAGATGTAAAACTTTCAAAGATGGCCCCTCCAAAGGCTCTTGTGATGTTCCTAGCCAAAATAGCCCCCACTCTCATTCTGAACCTGCCTGACGCAACACTTTCATCTTCTTGCTTCAAAATGCACCCCATCAGATGTCTTTGAAGTCAATGCGCACATACCTGCATGACCCTGTAACTCCACACAAGAAAGCAGACCCCCTTGTTATGCTGCTGTTTCTTTAAAAAAATGAGTATGCCACAGAGAAACTCTGGGTGTTAATGCACTCTGGGTCACAGGAAGTGGTGGTTGTTCAGTGGTAATGAGCAAACAGGAGTTAGATGACATGGAAGAAATGGATCTCTTGTTACCTCAAAATTGTATTTTTGGAATGAAAAGACTGGTAGAAAGCATTTACTGTTACATTTACTACTTAAAGTTTGGGGCTTTCTGTGAGATAAGTGTCAGTTACATGTTGTAGAGCTTTACATTTTGTTTCAGATCAAAGAGATGCAGTAGTATGGTTGGATTGATCTTGTTGTTGTAGTAAATCATCAACAACATAATATATATATAAGGCCATGAGTAGAACTTGGATATTCCAAATGCGTATTTTATTTTTTGAAAGCTTAAGTTGACCGTGATTACCCTTAAAGCAATGCAGACACAACTGTATTTGCATTTTTCTGTTTTATGTAGTTCCAAATCTTAATTATTATGTTTTTACTACAAGAAGCATCTGTTTAATAAACAGCTCAGAATCTGACAGATTATTGTCACTTTTTCCAAAATTAGCCAAAAAGGAAACAGAAAGCCTCTTACAAACACGAGTGAGTGACTTTTTTACACTTGTTGAAAGGTAAAAAGGCAGTTGTGATATTTATATTCTTGTCAGTGTTGTCTTAAACATTCTGTGCAGTTGTTTCCTCTGTTAATACAGTGCTGTTTCCTTCTGTAGGCAAATCTGCCGCTCCTTCAGAGGGAGCTGCTGCACTGTGCCAGGCTAGCCAAGCAGAACCCAGCTCAGTACCTGGCCCAGCATGAGCAGCTGCTCCTGGACACCAGCACCACCTCCCCAGTGGACTCCTCTGAACTCCTGCTGGACGTCAACGAGAACGGCAAGAGAAGGACGCCAGACAGGTGAGTGAATTTAGAAAGTCAGATCATTATTTTACCGGTATTGGACTTATTTGGGTTCTCATCATCATCATCATCATCATCATCATCGTCGTCATCATCACATAAGTTCACATCGATCAAGATCTGGGGTTTAGAGATTTACCAGCTCCAGACATTGAAGCAGCTGAGGCTCTTTTACTCCTCTATTACTTGATCTCATGCATAAATCCCTTTGAGTCTGCCTGCATCCCCTTGAAACCATACATGACGCCACAGACACAAGGTGAGCCAATGCAAGGCAATAGCGTGATGTGTTAATGTATGTATGGGAAGTGTCTGTCAGTGTGCCACCGGGCCTCATGACGTGCTCCGCTGGACATCTCAGCTCCTGGCTCCGGCTCTTAATGGACCAGAACTGAGGAGAGGAAGAGATGAGAAAAGTAGACCTGGCTACAACCAGACACACACAAACACACACACACACACAGATCCTGAGGATAGAAAAAAGGGAAAAGACAGCTGTGTCTTCATGAAAAGTGTGAATGTGTCAATGAATGCGCTCTGTGTATATTTGTGATATCTAAGTTATCGCTTGCTTCCATGCTTATTCCCCCCCCCAGCCAAATCATTATATTCATTTGTTGTCACGGACTTTGGTAATGACTCAATGTTCCCTGCTCTAATGGACAAGCATTGAGACGTGACGTCCAGGAACACACAGCACTGTAAAGAACAGTCTTACCCCAAAGCAGCAGAAACGGAAACGAGCACAAGACATGTCCATGAGCATGTTTAAGACTGTGGCACCTTCCAAGCCCAGTAAAGAACATTTTATTTGAAAGAGCTGCAATACGACTAAAAAATACAATCTTAAAGTCTGAATCTATATATAGATTTGTATGCATTTTCTCCCCAAATAACTTCACAAAGGAATTCAGAAAAATAATAAGCTTTTAATTAATCCATTTAGTTATCCACAGATGCATTCAAACATTCAATCATTACACCTTATTTAGCATTTTTAACTACTTGAACATAAATTTGTGTTTGGTTGTGAGTTTGTGCCTGTGTTACGAGTACAATGTGTGCATGTTTTTTTTTTAAACAAAGATTAATTCCCGGGAGTCTAAATTTTCTAATACGGGCAGGGGAGAGGAAAATGTACTTTTCATATTTGCTGAGGGACAAAAATGCCAAACGCGATATTAATAATTCTCACCTCTCTTTTCTCCAACAGTCAGATAGGCAGACTTTTCTGTAATACCTGCATATTTGCAGGCCGTCTGGTGCATAGGGGAGTGAGCTTAGGGGAGAAGGTGTGCGTGTAAATGTGAGAGAAAGAGAATATATGGAGAAAGAGAAAAAGTAAGTAGGCATCTGTATTCAGTGAAAAAAATGTTTGTGTGAGTGTGTGTGCATGATTCTCTATTCAGTGTGAAAGCGTGAGTATGGTTCATGTATGTGCACCTTGGTACGTGTTAAGGTGTGGATGTGTGCGTGTGTGTGTGTGTGTGTGTGTGTGTGTGTGTGTGTGTGTGTGTGTGTGTGTGTGTGTGTGTCTGCCTAGGGAGATGGGCTGATAACACATACAGATGAGGCTCCAGCACCAATACGGCTGGCTAAGCACCTCTGGTTTCTGCTTACCTCTGCTCTGCATTCCCGCTTATTGGAGCCCTGTGTCGGAATATTGGAATTTGAATGGGAATCCTTAATTACAGACAACAATGCACTATCAATGCATCCTGATTAATACCATGGTCTGCAGAAAACCAGACCAGGAATATCACAGTACAATATGCATATGAGAGGGGGAAAAGCATAGGCTATATATAGGGTATACCATAAATTCTCTAACAAAAGCAGATATTTAAATAATAGCTGGGAGTGCAAAAATACCGGTACCTGTACTTTAATGGCTTGCATGGTGAAGTCAGTATAATTCAGCATATTTTCACAGCATGAATTCCATCATACATAAACCAAACTCAACATTATTACTCTGAGTTTCTCTTTTTAAGATAAATACTGTTGTCACTTTCTAATTGATTGAATGATTTTGTTAATGTAAGTCAACAGTTATTGCAGTTGTTTCACAATAAAATCCTTCCAGGCAAGAAAAGTAATTGAAAAACTGAAAGTGAAATAATAATTGACTAAAATATAATTAAATGTACTTATCAGACAAGAGAATTTAGAAATAAAAGTTAATGAATTGAAGAATTTTGGGTATTTGAATGAATGTTTCTCATTTTGAGATGTTATTTAATCACATTACCAAAGAGACAATATGAACCCAGTTTCTCAAATCTAAAATCTTGACATTAGCATATGCATGTAAATTAGCCACGTATGTACAGTAGGTAAATTATGTGGGCACACATCAGAGCACTGTATAGGTGACTGTGAATGTGTGTGCATTTGTGTACTCCAGTGCCTGTAGATATAAACATTGTTGCAGCAGGAAGGCTGGGGAGATAAGAGTGTGTTTGGGAGGGGGGAGAATGGATGGATGAGTCGAGGGAGGCAGCAAGAGACGGACGGATGGAGGGAAAGAGCATATGGAGAGCTGTGGATGAGCATTAGGAGCCCATAAAAACAGCTCATTAAGAAGTTCAATCTGTTCATCAGAGAGAGAGATGGGGAGGAAGAGGAGAGGGAGAGAGAGGAAAGTGGAGGATTGCAGATAGAGGGGGAGGCTGGCAAGATTTTACCGTGAACTGACAAAGCCGAGAACACACACACAGGCACACATGTGCAAGCATGCACACACACAAACACACCTGGCCACATTAATCTTTGGAAGCAGGCTAACAAAAATCCACCTGATCCCCTGGAAGCTACTTGAGTGAGTATGTAGGTATGTGTGTGTCTGTAATTTGTGTTGGAGCTTCAGTTGTGTATGTGTGCGTATGTATGAATGGATGTGTTTTCAGTGGAAGAATTACGGGATGATTCCTGGAAAAACAGCCTTTCACTGCAGTCCTTTAGTCTGTTAGCAGGTCAACTCAAGCCTTTACTACAGCACAAAGGGGTGGAACAGTTGTGATGATACGTTTCAAGTTTGGCTTTTGTATATAATAACTGTAACAAGCAAATTTTGAATCAGACATTTTTACAAAATAGGTGTGATATCACCATCACACTGATTTGCACCTGTGTTCTCTCTTGTCTCCTTCTTTCATTTCCCATTCCTTTTTCTACTGATCCATTGTGCCTCAAGAGGTCTTTTGTTATTTGCCAGGCTTTCACTGTATCAAGAGGCTTATGTTCAAATCTGGTAACAGCAAACAGCAAACATTTCAGCCATATTTGGTCTCATATTCAGTGTTATTTTACTTGGAACAAGTTAAAACATTTGTCAGTAGGTGTAAATAATGTTCCTAACGCAGTGACTCTTTCAAACAAATGAAATTGTCACCCACTGGAAAAAAAAAAAAACAAAACAGTAAACTCAAAATTTCTCTTTCTCTTTCTTTCCTTCTCCACCCAGAACCAAAGAGAACGGCTTCGAGCGAGACAGTGCCCTGCACCCAGATGTTCACCCTAGCAAGCGGCCCTGCACCATAAGCCCTGCCCAGCGCTTCAGCCCATCCAATGGGCTCTCCTACCAACCCAATGGCCTGCCCCACCCGGGCCCCCTCCCTCCGCAGCACTACAGGCTGGATGACATGGCCATTGCCCATCACTACCGTGACACCTACAGACACCCCCCCTCCAATCATCGGGAGATCCGGGAGAGAGCCAGGCCTATTGGTGAGAACATGGGGGGGGGGGGGTGCATGTTCGTGCATGTGTCCATACATTTAGATTTTTAAGCAAAAACCAATCCCAAAAAAAGGCATAATGTCAAAGCTTTAACTCTGTTGTAGTACAGAGAGAAACATAAAGAGGGTTTTATATATAAAGGTAAACAGTTACCTAACAGCCTAACCGTTACATAACAGTTCTCAGGGTTCTTTATGTACCACTTCAGCCTGGTGGATCCTTGTTGGTACAGTAGTTTGACAAACAAGTCCCTCTGACCACAAGGATATCCTGCTGCCTCCGAGAGCAAAAACCAAAGCTGAGGCCACTGCAACATGACAGCTGACTGAAGTATTGCACTGTGAGATGTATGAGTGCACAACATAAGCACATTTAGACACAGTGTTGTTGCATTAGAGACATTTTTCTGTGTAGACTCAGCCTTGATGAAGCTGTAATGACGACTTTGGCTCAGTTCTAAAAATAGTTGAGACATTTACCATGTCTCGCTTTGTGATGGATGTTTATTGGCCTGGAAGCTCAGTCATTTGAGTCCTGCCCTGAGGGTTGGAGAGAGATATGGAGACAGCAAAGAAAAGGGGGAGTGAGGGAGGAGGAGAAAGAAATGGATGGAGAGAGTTTCAACCAGGGACCAAATAAAGGATAGATCAAAGGAAGAGTAAGGCAGTGATGGAGTATTGTTACATTGATCCTCTGTGTCATACTGACTTGCCTTTATTTATCTTTCTATCTGTCTATCTATCTTTTTCTCTCGCTTACAGGTATGCATACAGGGACCAGGCAGGAGGAAGTGATTGACCACAGGCTGACAGACAGAGAGTGGGCTGAGGAGTGGAAGCACCTTGACCATGTAAGAAAAGTAATAACATTTTTTATTACTATACTTTACAGTTCTGCCTCCGTAAGCAACAGAGATTAACTCATTTCAGTCACATTAAATGGTTATATGTCACGTTGTACTGTAAGTCTTTGTTACACTGCCCACAAAATAGAGTGATATTTGTGTTTTGTGTACTATTTAAACAACGTGAGATCAACTCAAAGAAAGGTTTGACATTACATGCATATCAAGACTATAGTTATTTTAATATATATATGTATATGTGTATGCTTGCATGTAAATATGTTTGTTTAAATATTGTCTAAATATTGATAAATTATTGTTTGCATGTCCACCTTCACTTTTGTTAATCCAGTCCTTTTAATGCTGCAGTCTGTAACTTTCTGCATGTTCAAACTACATGAAATATGACAGCATATCTAATGTCACATTGGTGATGCTGTTTCACCTCCTTGTTGTTAATATGCAGTGAACATTTTATGAACCAATCAAGTAATGTGAACACAAATGCATTATTGACTGAAGTGATTAAGTAAGATTTTAGCCGGAGATGTGTGACCTGACAAACCTGATCAATATTTCAAGGGTGAAAGTTTATTTCACATACTGTTTCACTACCAAACAATACAGATGAATGTAATAATGATACACTAACTATATTAAAGAGAATGAAAAATAAATAAATAAAAACAACGAATAATGATAGATGTTGCTTTTAATTTAGAACCCCATCCTCCACCACTATACCCTTGCTGAATTTAAATCAATTCATTCATGTCTATGTGTAAACTCAGCGCCTTGCCCACTCCCTGTCACCCCCAGCTGCTGAACTGTATCATGGACATGGTGGAGAAGACAAGACGCTCACTGACAGTACTGCGGCGGTGCCAGGAGGCTGACCGTGAGGAGCTCAACTACTGGATCAGACGATACAGTGACGCTGAAGAGCTGAAGAAGGGAGCTGCTAGTGGGCAGTCAAGGCAGCAGAGCCCGGCAGCACAGGAAAACGCAACACCAGGTAGGGGAACACACATACTGTACATGTATTACAGGTATTAAAGGGCATAGTGGCAAAGTAATTAGTAAATATATGTTTACAAGGCTGCTTACAGCCATGTTCCTGTAAGTTTAACTACATTTCAAGGCCTTCTTGTGATGTTTTTATTGTAGGACAACAGGTCTCAACTGGTATCTCACATTAGCCTTTCTTTGTGTTTATGATAAATATCTAAAATATGAATTTCACTAGCCCTCTTGATACTCGTCCCACTTTATGTTAAGATGTAACTTCTCTCTGAAATCAGCTGTTTTCAAATCACTAATAAGGAGACGTCATACATGAAGGTGATTAAGTTATTTTCTCCAGCAGTTTTATGTCCAGAAAGCCCAATGTGGTGTACCCCAAGGTTTAATTCTAGGTCCTCTATATTGTCAAGGTTGTACATGCTGCCACTAGGCTATATCACCTATGTTATCCTTATATGTATCCCTGTCCAATGAAAACCTGAGCCATTTTACAGTAACTTATTCTTTCAACCTTCTGACAGAAACATCAGGGTAACCAACAGGTTCTACAACATGCTGAGTTGTGCCATAATCTTCTGGACTTTGTCATGCAAAACATTGGTTGATCTCTGATTACCATGGTTTGTGTCTCCCTAGAAATCCACAGGGAGCTGTTGCACCGGCCTGTGTCTGGCTACGTCCCTGAAGAGATCTGGAAGAAAGCTGGTGAGCCTGCCGTCATCACACACACTCTTTCTCCCTCTTTCTCTTTATCTCTGCAGTTTTTAAGACATTTTGTTCTGTAGAAATCGGGGCCATCTTTTTCACCCAGATGACTCTGGAAGTGGATGAGAGTCACTCCTTTAAACCCCATTCTCCCCTCTCATCCCAATGTAGTCTGCTGTCTGCAACTTTCTCCCCTGCTAGACTTGAATTAATGTGTCAGGCTGCTCTTAGAAAATCATTTATATTTGATACAGTAGGAAGTTAAAAAATAAGACTTTCACCACCACACACTGCACACTCCAAATATGATGTCAGGTCTTAAAACGATTTTATTGCGCCAGTCAAATAAGGGACATAAGTAGCTTTTACAGCTGCTCCAGTGGTTCTGCTGTTGAAAGTACAGTAGCAAGACTTCGTATCTTTTTGCTTTTGGCACTTTTGTAATCCCCTTAGCAACATACATTGCAGCTATTCTATTTAACGAAAGTGTTGTAAAATTGTAGAGGGAAATTTGTAGAGCCAGTTAAAATCAAGTATTGAAACTAATTTGTTGTTTTAACAGCTTTCATTAGTTGCCATTACATTTTTAGCGTACACAAACAGCATTCTTTAAACTCATGAGTGTAGCTGCAATCACCATTATCGCTGTCCTGAAAAACTGAAAGAATTTTCCGCTGAGGGTTCAGTGCTCAAGGAATTCACTTTGTATTCACCGTCAGTGATACAGTATATCTGCTTTTTAAACCCCTTAGAGAAAAGAAATTGTCCCCTTGCTTGACCAAGCATGATGTGTGAGATACTCAGAACAAGTAATATGCATTTAAATTGAATTGAGTATCACCATCGGGACTCAGCCTGCTCTCCAGTACTCTCCTCCCCTCACCAGCTTTGATCGATCTTCCATCTAAGGCATTTGGTGTGTAATCACAATTCCATGCACAAGGCATATATCACACGGCACCAGGGCAATTTCCATGACTTCAGGCAGCACAGTAGGTTAAAGACAAAACCACCCTGGTTTAAAAATGTAGCTCAATCACAATGGAGAGAAAATGTCTCTGTCTTTATAAAAAGCGCACATTCGGTCTGATATTGAAAACAGATTTTACATTTGTAATACAAGTGTAATGTGTACAAAGCAAATGAAGTAAAGTGAAGCATATTTGTCAGACATAAAACTGTATCTATCTTTTGTCTGAGGGATAAATGGTGCCCACTCTTTTTCATTCTCTCTGTATTCTTCTCAGTATTTCTGGCATCCTTTTCCCTTCAGTCGCATATATTCTGGCTGAAGAGAGACTGATCTAAATGTGACCCAGGGAGGATTGCAAAATAGGATTTTTAACACAATGGAGTGCAGCAGTGAATACATCTGTTTGAAATGGGCAAAATGTTTACAGTTGGTGATAAATATTCAAGCACCTTGCACGGTGTCCTACCGGTTTCCCACTTCCCCTCACCACATGGGCCTCTGGGATCACAATGGAAATGCATAATTTAAATATAAATTGCCTGATTTGCATACACAATTAGTCAAGTTACAGGCTTGATGGGAGCAAACAAAAAGCCCTCCTTTTGCTTTGATGTTCAGTTGGAATTCCACCGCTTAACACCCGCACGGCAAGGTTATTCGTTCCACAGAAGAAGTATAAAATAATAACACATTGCTCCAGCTAGAGCAGGTCTTCTGAGTGATTACCTGTGATTAATTGGCTCGTTGTCTTGACGATATTTTTCAAATAAAAAAAAATAAAATGTTTTGCTCATCTGTAAATAAGATCCTTTCAACCTTTTCACACCTTGATGCATTAGATGACCTAATGTAACTTATTAAACGTGCCACATTCAGTTACATAAGAATGCAGAGGGTGTATACAAAAGTGATTGGTTCATAAGTATAACTTCCTCAATGCCTTCATAATTAATTTAAAGTAAGCAATACATCATGTGTTAATATACCTACTATCCTGTGCTTATCACATTTAAAAATTGATGCACAGGTATTACTGTATATGGAGCTGATCTTATAAGAAAAAACTACAAAAGTTATGAATATGTTTATATTATATGTTTTCTCTGCTGTGTGAATTAATTTAATCATCTCCAGAACAAAAAATGTCTTTTCTCTGATTTTGTCCTTACATGAGTGAAATCTGTTTTATGGTTACGGTTTCTGTTTTTCAGATGAAATACAGATTTAGCAGATGAAACTGCTTTTACGATTTATCTTTTAGAACAACACTTTATGTTATTTGTAAGAGTACGAATGTTATTGTGTTTAAAATGGCAGATACATTTTTGTAAATGGCACAGTGGTTTTGAATGGCTTTATGTTACATGCTTATCCTCATGTAAATACAAAAGAGAAGGGTCCTTCCCTTTGTGTGAGAGATGTTTCTACTCAGAAATAATAACAGTTTTATCCTAGACAAAAGTGAGAAAAGAATCTTAAATTTAACAGTATATTCAATGAAAATAAACTTCCAATGACAGGATGATATAATACACATTATATTGCAGGTACGGGAGGCTTGACTTCCTCTGTCTCCACACTCTTTCCAGAAGAGGCAGTGAATGAGGTGAAGCGACAGGCCATGTCAGAGCTGCAGAAGGCTGTGTCGGAGGCAGAGCGCAAGGCTCATGAGATGATAAGCAGCGAGCGGGCCAAGATGGAGCGTACGGTAGCCGAGGCCAAGCGGCAGGCGGCCGAGGACGCTCTCTCCATAATCAACCAACAGGAGGACTCCAGCGAGGTAGGAACATACAGACAATTCAGTAACATCAAAAGGTGTACCCTCAATCTTTCAAACACATCACGAAAACTGTCAACCTCCTCCACTTTGATAGTTATGGTGTTCTGTCTTTCTTTGTTGTCACTTTGACTATACTTTTGTTGCCAGCTGTTCTAGTGACTCCCAAATGACACAGACAATATGATCTTCAAATCATTGTATATTATGTTTCAAATATCAAAGAGGTTGGCTGATTATTCGCTTTAAAAGTGTTCCAGCAAAGAACATTGTTTTATAGTCAGGAGATAGTGGGAGGGAAAGCAAAATAAAGCAAAGCAAGGTCAATCAAGCATCTATTAACCTCACTTTCCGCCTTCCTTTTTTATTCTTCCGTCAGAGTAGCTAGCATGTTTGGAAAGGTGTTGCCAATTCAGCTGAGAGGAAGTAAGGGAAGGCGCTTTCATTTGCTAATCACCATTGGAGACCTTGACGTTTAATCAGTTAAGTGAGAGGGAAATATGGCTCACATCTGTCATTAATTGCAGGAGTGATGTTTATGAGAGAGAAGCGCCCCAGAGGAGAACTTTCAGGAGCTGTTTGTAACCTTGTTCTCGGGTTTCCTGTGGATATGCAGCCGCCCTGGCATGCTCTCCCTGCGGTTTCCAAGATATACTGTATAAGAGGCCCTAAGTGTAATGGTAGATGGGTTTTTGATCTGTCTGTGGTTTGTTTTAAGCTTAAGTGTTGTAAAAGCAGAGGCTTGTTCTGTTAATGTGTCGACTGGTGCACTGATATCTGTTGCTAATCTTCATGTCGGGTTCAGTAGTTCTCTGCTAGATGTGGCATTCTGCTGTTACAAACACGTGATGATCTTTGATGAATAGCGACATAAAATAAAACAAACAAGGGGTCCTAATGACATTTTAGCGATTATCAGAAGTTCATCAGCTGAAATGGTTGTAAATCCTTCTGCTGTATTAGTTTTGTTTTAGTTAATGTTGTCTCCTTCTGTCTGTCAGAGCTGCTGGAACTGTGGCCGCAAAGCCAGTGAGACGTGCAGCGGATGCAACACAGCGCGCTACTGCGGCTCCTTCTGCCAGCATAAAGACTGGGAGAAGCACCACCATGTCTGTGGTCAGACCCTCCAGGCCCAGCAGCAGCAGGCCAGCCAGCAGCAAGGAAGCGTCCCAGGGTCAGAGACCCCTGCTCCCATCAGCTCCTCTGCCTGCACCCCGAGCAGCGGAACTGGGAGCCCGGCTGCTACCCCGCCTGCTGCTACCCCTCGCTCCTCCACCCCCAGCACCCCATCCTCCTCAGCCCTGGATGGCACACCGCGCTAAGAGACTCACACAGAGGATGGAGGCAAAAGTCTCTGGGGCTTAACAGCCAGCCCTCAACCCCACAAACAGCATGACTGTCTACATTGCCTTGCAAAGATGCTAAGCTAACGTGGCTAACAGAAAAAGATGGCAATGCTTCTGTCTATCTTGCAGTGTAGTCATAGAAGGAGGAGGAGGAGGTCCATAATCAGGTCATATTGACTTGCCATGACTTTAAAGAAACACAAAGATATTCTTTGTTTTGAATGAATGAATTTAAATATTGACATCCTTTTATCGTTACACTTGCTATTCTTGTTGTCTGTTTGTCGTCGTGCTTGTTGTTGTTAATGTTGTTGTCATTGTAGCTTATCTTATTTTTTTCCTGTAAATATTAAGAGACTGAGCAGAGATAGCCGTGAACTCGAGTCAACTCAAGTATATCTGACCTCCCCTTTTTTAATGTTTTTAAGTTTCCATCCTTGAATTAATGCTTATTTCCTCCCTGTACCTGGGACATGAAACTAGTCAACCTCATTTTACCAAACAGCTTACCAAGGGAATATGTCTAGCTAGCAGAACAATGGAAGTCATAAATACTCTTTGTAAAGAAAGATATTAGATTTAAACACATTGAAAAACACACCGATGGATGGACTGATAAACAAGTCTGTTGCCTGGAGAGAGGAGAGGTATGGACTGAATATCTGGCCCGCAGACCGCCATGAAATGGGCAGATGTGCAGCAGATTGCAAGCAGAGCCAGCTGTTCAACCAATGTTATTTCGCTCTCACTTGTAATAATATCCAGGTCAATGGGCTGGGAAATACAAATCCGTCTCCCCGAAGGATGTAAAAGGAAGAATTCTTGGACATGCTACAAAACTTTGCCCACTGCACATGTGGAGGATGTACTGACTACAATTCGCACGTGCATGCTTGGTGGGTCACAGAAGCTCTCAAACAAGGAAGTGAAGTCATCACCCCACCAGTGAGACTGTCAAATCACCATGACAGCGGCCGCTGGGCCACTCAGAGCTGAGAACCTACAGAACTCAGTAGGAAGCTCATTCTGCGCCCCAGACGCTCCCCTCCTGTCTCAACTCTGAAAAACATTTTCATCTTTCTTCATGTTCTTATTCTTTTTCTGTAGATGTCATGGTGTTTAAGACTTCTGTCCTGTGGTGTCATCAATGGTTATTTATTGTATATGTGTTGGACAATTGTGACAATGCATAGTACTTCAACCAGTCACAACTCCAAGTCCTTCATAACTCTCTCTCTCTCTCTCTCTCTCTCTCTCTCTCTCTCTCTCTCTCTCTCTAGCTGGTGCAAAAAGAGATAAAAAAAAGAAGTGTTATCTTTTTTTCCAAGCTGCTTTTCTATTCTGTGTGTTAGTGGTAGATCCCTCGTAGTTCTATAAGTTTTACTTCCCTTTGTCCTCAAGAAAAAGACACAAGCTATATCTCAGAGCTGCTACTTGAGTCCGACCCAGATCTTTTCTGAGAACTAGCATGTTGCGCGGAATGCTAACCTAAATGTTTTGTACAAGGGACATACATAAATGTATTTGCACTGTCACAGAGGTTATTTCGGCATGCTTCTTTTCAGCATACTTGTGTTGTTGGTATAGAGCCATAATTCATCAACCATTTTGTATGTAGTGATAGCATTATCTGTTTTTACATTATTTAGGATGGGGGGAGTTGGAAAAGTGTAAAATCACCAAACCCACTTTTTTTTTTCTTCTTCTCAACATGCTAACAAAAGCGGCCATAACATTTTTTTGGAATAGTTACAGACAGTGCATGCACATTACTGAACGTTTGTTAAATATTTGTTATTTTTTAGAAAAACTGAAAAACAACCAAAAAAAGTTAAAAAAAATACAAAAATATTCTAACAAACTAACTTTCCAAATGCAGAGGTGTAGACTCCGATTGACAGCTTTAACACTGCAAAGCACCAGGTAACACACAGTATTAACACAAGAGATAAACAAAAAAAAAAAAACACCAAAAACAGCCAAAGACTGACACCAAGGACCAAAATCCTGATTTAAACAATTTTCAAAAGAGGTTTGTTCACATAAATATTGTGGTTTTATTTATTTCTGCAGGTTTTGTTCACACATTCGTGGAACAAAAAACAACTTCAGTGTCATAAAAGTCATTTATTTTTAATCCTTTCTAGAAACCAACGGCACTCATCTTACATTGTGAAATGAGAAGGTGTGACTTAAACATAATGAACATTTCATAGCAGTGTTACATTTTAACTGGAGCAATAATAACTAATGTGACATGAACACTGATGACTTCTTTAACCATTTTTGAAGAAAAAGTTTTTGCGATATTTTTTGATCTTGTTTGTACATTTTCTCATTGCACAAATGTCCGATTAAGTGCCCATTTCAGCTTTAAGCAGTTAAGTTCTTTATTCTTGAAGAGGTGAATGTGAGACTGGGCTTTCACACCAATGCCATTTGCAGTTGTTTTATATTTATTTATATTGAATTATGTCATTTTTGCCGTTCAGATAGATAATCAGTCACAGCTTTGTTGTAAACCTTCAACAGTAAATCAAACAAACCTCTCATTCGCAGTAAGAGAGCACTTACCCTGACGCACACAAAGGCTCTTCACCCCAAACACCTTGGTGCTACACAGAAGCGCGTTACAAATTCTGACCTCAAGGAACAAGCGGAGGCCCTCAAAGGTTCTGGGCTGTTTGCTCCCTCTGTACTTCTTCATCTCTCCCTTCTTGTCGAAATAAAATACACACCTGCATTCTTGACTCTAAAGGGTTAAACGATCCAAAAAGGTGTCTGACACCCTACTAGCAACTCCTCAGAAGCTGTGAAGAAACAGCCAAGCTGTTTTAACACTAGTGTATTTGAAAGTATACAACAAATAACGTGTGTGTTCATCACTATCAGGGCAAAACCTGGGTTTAAAAAAAGGAGAAAAAAAAACCAAGACAAACATTATCACTCAATGATTCTTTGAGAAGCTCTATTTTTTCTTTCTTCCCTCCTCTATGTGTGTTTTGCTACAAATTCCTCGGTGGCAAACAAGTCTCACTCTACCTCTTACAGCACGATAAGAGCATCAGTCGCGGCGCTGATACTGGTCTAGTCTAAACCAAATGGGCACAAGAGAACAGGAAAAATAAAAAACCCAAAGTCGAAGCTCATACAGCTGCAAAACCATATCACTACTTGGTAACAATGCAGACCTCATAAATAAATGAAACATAAATGAATAGAAATGAGAAAAAAAAAAAAAACTTTTGTTATGTTCCTTTATGCCTGTGGCGTTTCTAGAGTACATCAAGAGTTTGAATTGTTTGAACAGATTTTAAAAATTGTGCTAATTTTAAAGAAAAGTGTTGTCGATTCCTATTTCGATAACACAAGCTAAGGTCACAGACAAGAAATGTTGTTTCTCTCTCGCTCTTTTTTCTCTCCTGTTTCCCCTCCACTTTTTTCTCCTCTTCTCTTCTCTGTTGTGAAGACACGCTAAAGTGCTTGTCAACTTGTCAGCGGGGGTTAAATAAAAAAAGGGGGGGGATATACAAAGGCAAAGCTTGTAAAATCTGAAATAAAAAAATGAAGGCTATGAATTTAGGCATGCCTGTTTTTCACAATAGGAGGGAAATGTTATTTAAATTTCCTACTTATCAAGAAATGCTGGGGAAATGTGTGGGGCCAACAGTGAACAGCGAAGGCCGTAGCATTAATCTGGGGGAGTGAGTTGAACTTCAGGGGTGGGAGGGTATTTTTTTTGCGTTCTCTTGAGAAAATTTATTGTGGAAAAAAAAAGAGCTCAAATGATTTGAAGTTGTTGTGCAATACTTAATTGAGACATGAAAACCACAGGTTAGTGGTAGGCTGACACTGGGCGGTCTTTCCATCGCCTAGAGTCAGTGTCCTCTAGAGAGCTTTCCAGTCTACTATGTCAGAACTGTGGTTTCTTGTTGATTTTTTTTTTCCTTTTTGTTTCTTTTTTAAAAATTCTTTTTTTGGGCTGTAAACTATGGTCTGTCAGTCTGTGAAACTTTGCAGTATAATTCTGGTATTGTTGTTCTCTTAACTGTGTAATAAATATGTTAATACCTGCCTCTGAGACTTGGGCTGGTGTTCTTTCATTAGCGTGTCCAAGATTAGCAACACTAGAAAAACACTGATTATATAAGCTTGGACCTAAGACTTAAAATTATCTTGTGTTGAAACTGGAAGTGTGGCGTTTGAAAGGTGTGGGCATTTAGAAAGGCTAGGAAAGATGCTATTTAGTTGCATTATGGGTATGGGTATGAGCTTAAACCCTTCCTAGAAACAAAAAAATAGGATATCTCGACCTGTCAGCTTCAATTTTGACCTTTTTTTTTTTGTATCCTTCTCTGGTGAATGTTGGTTTTATGGATTTAGATTTCAAAACATGAACAGATTCAAATGTGACATTCGGTCCACAGTAATGTATCGGACTCATGCCTACATACAGTAAGTCAGTTTAATGTCAATAAGTATTATACAATAAGTAAGTTTAAGAAGTGAATATATTCATCTGTTGGTGCTGTAGAGTGGACATCCAGACAGTAAGAAGTGGAAAATCTGTTAAATTAAATCTGACTGCTAAGTACATACACAGCTTCTTCATTTTTCCACATCTCTGGCTATTTTTCCTGTTTCCAGACCTTGGACCTCACTGTCTTTATTAAGGATCACTTCTCTACTGTTGAAGTGTTTTCTAATGGCTTATTCATTACCAGCTAAAGTTTCGAATCTGTGCATCTGATCTTTTATTTTGACAGGTTACATTTTGGATTTTACACCACTCAGAACTAAAGTAGCCTTCACATATTTGGAATATATAGATGACTGTATATGGATTGTGATGAATTTCTAATTACAAGAAACGATGTGATAGCTGAAACCTTGACAGTACTATAGCCATCACACATACAGTTCACCCTAAAGACATCCAGACCTTACTAAAGAGCTTTTAAAGTAATCACCGATAGTGTAACAGAATAATTGTGGACTTGAAATGTAATACTTCTCTCTCTTTCCCATGACTCCTTAATTTCCTGTGACTGACTGCCTGTTTCTCTCATCCCCTCACATTGCCCACACTATGTGCAGCAACAGATACAGTTTGAACCAAAACCCACAAAGACATTATACCATACTGTATCCTTAAGATAACATCTAGTTTGGAAAATATGTGTAACCTTGTAAAAATACAGAATGAAAAAATTACTATTATTACATTTGTCCCTATTTTCTATATATATTTGTATATACATATGCCAGGTGTAATGTGGTGTTGACGTCATGTGGGATGGAAGGCAGTGATGGAAATTTCCATATTTGCAGCATGTGAGAGTTCAAGTCATCAGACAACTGAAGATTGCAGAGTTGGATGAGTGAGGATAGAAATACTGCACACTGACAACATTCTTTGGGACTATATCCATGACATTTTGATTTATTTACCCTAAACGAAGGTCTTTAACATATTGGAACTGAATGCCCAATGAGACAGTAACACATGTCAAGATGTCTTTAAATTTCATGACACTATCTGACTGATTAACCATTTTATTGCCTAAATTTTATTAGTCCCAAATTATGGTCTCGATCTGCAATGAGTATGGGTAGCAAAAGCAAAACAGGATAACAAAATGACAGATTTTGAGAGTGCAAGGCAGTCTCAGGTGGCTCAGCGTTGGGGCTTGCTGAACTTGAGTTATCTGAAACACGAAACACAATAATAACAACCAGCCAGAGCCTCTGTGACCTTTTAAGTAGTTATTAATTTTTTATTTTATGTTTTCTGGAGATGTACGACTAATTGCTTAATATAAGAAACCACTCAGCCCCTGATTCCATGAGAGATATATCACATTCTCAGACACTTGAGAGACTGATTAGACAACCAGTGCGGTGACCTTACCCTACACATCAAAATGTTACCAAGCAAAGTAAAAGGGCTGAAGGAACTGCTAAAAATCAAGGAGAGTGATATATATTACAACAAAGCTGTAAAGGTATGAGCAGGTGATGGAGCTATTTATATGCCAGTACAATTAACCTCCTAACTAACCTCAGGTTTTTGCCTGACAAGATTGTGGTGGACCTCAAAGAGCTGGGATCAGCTGCTCCCTTTCAAAACGAATGACAGTGAAGCCATGAAGCAGCTCGTCAGCCCATCTTTATCTCTCTGTGTTGAACCACTTTGGAGTTGATAAAGCTCAGGGATGAGTTGGACTGCTGTGATATTCCTGCCACATTCTTCTACATAAAGTTCATTGTGGCCTGGGCTCTCTCTCCCCCCACCCCCTCGCCCATCTCCCTCTCTCCCTTCCCCTGTCTTTTCTCACTCTCTCTTATCAAGCGCGGCAGAAGCAGACAGCGACTTGAATTAAGCGCTGGTCGGGGGGGGGGGGGGCTGCTTGGAGCCGATAACAATACAAAATGGATTTTCTCAAACAGAGAAAAACAGCTGTCTCCATTATTTGAATGCTTCACCTTTCCCCGCTCCATTAATTGGCTCTTTGATCACAGGCAGAGGTGCACGGTGACTGATAAGGAATAGGTTATTAGTAAAGTAGCCTGGAGGACCGAGAGGCGGCCGGCCGTGCCGGGCTGCAGGAGATGAGATAAAGGCGTAGTAATGCCGGTGTGAGGGAGTGCCGGTGAGTGATAGGGCCGTGCCGTCTGGCCCTCTGGCTCACGGGCGATGTAGAAAAAGAGCAGCAGCAGGACGAAGTGTGATATAGCAGCTAATGCAGGATTGTGATTCAGCTTGTGGGGGCTAGAGCGTGGGATTTGATTCCATAACGGCTTGCTCCTTTAAGTGGTAGATCTCTCTCTCTTTCTCTCCAGTCTCCTTCCATTCTGCCCCTGCCTCTCTCACCCACTCATACAAAATCAAACTGTGTGACAGGAAATTTTTCCTTTCATATTGGCCTGATACGTGGTAAATGTTAGGCCTATGATAGCCCGCGAGGAGAAAAAAACTAGAGGGGAGGGGGGGAATGACATTACCCCATCTAGGGCTTTTTAAAAGATGGGCGGCTCCTTTGATGTTGCGCTGAGCTAAATTCGCTGCATTAAATCTGATGGAATTTTCACTATAAGCCTGTTTATGTATTTTCTCACATCCATGGACAAGGGCCGATTTGCCACACTTCTCATCGGAGGAAAGGAATCTTCAAGAAGTCACTATCTTGTAATCCTCCCTCTCTCTCTCTCTCTCTCTCTCTCTCTCTCTCTCTCCTCCCTCTCTCTCTCTTCAAGAAATAGGACCGGAGGGGACAAGCAGGGTATTTGTGTGTTGTAAAGCGTGGTAAGAAAAGAGGGGAAGTGTTGATATTAAATTACCGAACACAAGGTTATCTAGTTCCTGCACATGGCTAGGCTGCCCTGGGCCAAGGGTAATCTGCTAATAGCGTTCACACCGAATGACATTATTAAGGAACTGGGCCCATGTGTCAGGCCTCTCTCTGCCTTTCTCTCTCTCTATCCGTCTCCCTCCCTCTCTCTCAGACACACACTGGGAACAGTAGAGAGGGAAAGAAAAATAGCAAAAGAGACAGGGGGGCAGAGATGGATGAGGAGAGCTGGAGGAAGAGATAGGAGTGGAGGAACCAGACTGAGAGAGAATGAGGGGAAGAGCGAGAAAGTCAGGGGTAAAGGATATGAGGCTGAAATGCTTTCTTTTTTATCAGTGGCATTTGTTAAAAATGCCCTGCAAATATCAAAGTTCAAAATGATTTATGACTCGGTGAAAGCACATGACAAAACACTTGCATGTGGGGAATTGTGACCCACTAAACCACTTTGATTCCCTCCTGATCTGAGGAAGGTCATGCATCACAGTTGCATTAGGGGTAGTTAGTTAGTCCAACAGAATGGGATAAAGGGATACCATGCAATAACAGACAAAAATAAGACTTGCAATTACACCACAAAGACTCATAGCTCGCTATGCAAGGTTCAACCTATAAACGTAGGCCTCTCCTTCAGTACACTACAGTGTATTCAGCTGTGGCATATACAGGCCAAGGACAAAAGCCCATGCAGCTATCAATGTCAAGTAATGGCCTCCATAGACTGCCCAGCAGGTGAGTGGAGAGAAAAATACACTATGCTTCCTTACGCCCCTGGGGGACGGTGAAAACTCACCGAGAGGATTCAACAAAAAAAAAATCTTTCTCCTTCTTTTTACACTCCCTCCCACCCTCCTCCTCCAATCTCATACTTAGCCATGGCAGCATCCTGTAATCCACCGTGCAGTTGTTCTCGCTGAAACAGCCACAGTTGTTTCACACAAATGGCAATGCACATTGAAGCATACGTAGTCACAGACACACATGCTTGTTCAATGTGGAGAAAAGAGCATGGAAACGTTGTAAGTGGTGCCACATGTATGTGTGGAACATGCTACAGAAACGTAAACCACTTTTATCCCCTTATATAAAACACTGTTTTCTTCTCATTTTCAAACGTTCTGTGATACAGCATCAGATAATTTACCATTCAAAGCAAACAACAGCAACCTTGCACTAGATGGCAATCCATAGCTCTCATCATTAAAAATAGCACAAAAAAAAAAAAAGAAAAGGAAAACGCTACCTTTTTCAGAGCTGATAGCAGTGACTAAGGACTCCCTTTGACAGTTTCAAATTCTCATCAAACTGTACAGGATAAACAAGCAATTTAACTTCAGGAACTGGCAAATAACCAGCACTGCATTCTCACAGCGACTAACCTCTCAGTAAGTAAGCATTTCACTCCACCTCCACATTTGACATTGACTTCACAGGGCGAGCAAGTGTATGTTTTCAAACTTGTGCATATGTGTGTGTGTGTGTGTGTGTGTGTGTGTGTGTGTGTGTGTGTGTGTGTGTGTGTGTGTGGGTGTTAAGTGCCAAAGTGAACATCTTGCTAGGACGTGAAGTCAGGAGGTCTCTTCCCATGCAGGCAGCCAGTAGAGAGGAGGTGATTGATGCCTAATGAGGGCTGAATGAGGAGCTGAGGCCAAACACACTGTATACTGCCTACTGCGGCTTTACCACATGATGGATGGCACGCTGAGATACAGTACCCACACGT